TTGTGTGTGTGTGTGTGTGTGTGTGTGTGTGTGTGTGTGTGTGTGTGTGTGTGTATGTATTTGAACTGACAATTTCGATGCGCTTTTCATAATTTTCAACGAAATTTGAGAGGATTTTCCCCCCGAATTCGAACTAAAAATGGAATTCACGACAAAACAAGCGAGCCTGAAAGAAAATGAACAAACTGTACATTTTCCCTTGTGCAGCGGGCACCAGTGTTAATTCGTCGACCGGCGAGCAACTCAATAGTGGCAGTGTCACACCACAAGCGGAAACCCTACATCTATCGCTATTGTACTAGCTCACACAGACGCACGCACGCACAAGCACGCACATTCTCTCACACACATACACACACTCTCTCTCTTCCTCTCTATGTATCTCTCTCTCTCTCTCTATTTATCTCTATCTATCTATCTATCTATCTATCTATTTATCTATCTATCTGTCTGTCTATCTATCTCTGCCACTTGACATAAACTTCAGGCCGGATAGACAACGCCCTGCATCCGTCAACCGAGGTACGGGAAATGAACCACTGGCCTGTCAAGCTGTTGGTAAGACCAGCACGAACCACCAACAAAACGAGCCAGCAAGACAGGCAAATGAATGAGTAATTCCTTCCTGTTCATGAAATCGGATGAGAACTGCCATGTAATAGTAAGGCAGTTCGCCTTGCACACAAACAATCTGAGTTGGAATCCCAGATTTTAAAAAACTTCATTTTTCTCTAATATCTCCGGTCCTGACAGGCAGAGTCGAAGCAGCCCGCCCCCTGAACAACAAGAATGTATCGACGGAAGCGTACGCCATCTAAACTCATGCTTGAATAGCCCTAAGTTGCGTGGACAAGGTGAGCAGGCAACTGTTTATCATAACCCGTAGAGACAACGTTATCAACAATCACTATGATACACAGCATTTGTGTAGTGCACCATGTGTATTCCCACTGAATAGCAAGCTCCAGATGCTTTACTATCTATACCCAGCAGACCCTAGAACACTCAGAAACATTCTCAGCTTCCAGTGCCATGAGGACCATGTGGAAAACTCTTAAAGTTCTAACTTCGCTGTCGTTACGTGGGCCTGTGCCATAAACCGGCACCAGCGTAGTCAAGATTAATCCATTCCGCACTGACTGGTGCTATTTGCAAATTATGGTACGAGTACCATTTCATGGATTGCATGGCGCTATTTGCAACTTATGGTACAAGTCAAGTCCCATTGCAGGGACTGCATGGCGCTATTTGCAACTTATGGAACAAGTCCCATTACAGGGACTGCATGGCGCTATTTGCAACTTATGGAACAAGTCCCATTACAGGGACTGCATGGCGCTATTTGCAATTCATGGTACAAGTCAAGTCCCATTGCAGGGACTGGCGCTATTTGCAAATGATACAAGTCAAGTCCCATTTCCTATGCCCAGACGGCGATGTGGTCATGACCTGCTCCTCCGTGTCAGGGAGACATTACAGACCAGAAACGGGTCTCGCGTGACCTAATGTAACCGTGCACTGCCTAATGTGACTATACATTTCTCCCTCTCGCTCTATGTGGTGTGTTTCTTTACAAGATTACATACATAACTGTGTTTTTCAGGCTATATATCACAGGCTAACGAGTACCAGGTCGAACTCTCTCAGCTGTCTCGTAACTGTAACTGTTATGGTTTTAGTATCACTATACATGTCCCCTCCTCACTCTCTGAGGCTTGTTTCTTTACAAGATTACATAACTGTTGGGGGGGGGGGGTTCCAGGCTATATCACAGGCTTACAAGCACTAGGTTGAACTCTCTCAGCTGTCTCGTAACTGTAACTCTAACGATTTTACGCCCTCATCTACACAATATAGAACTTGTAGGAGGCGACTTTTCCAGATTCACAGTGAGAGCAAATTAACGCGTGTAACACAAATGAGATAATTAATGACGATAGTTTGTGATGTCGAACTGTTGAACATACGGCAGTTACTCGGGATACACTGTACACTGAAGAAAATATATACATGGGCTTTAAACGCATGAGCACAGACATATTTGAAAGAATAACAGATATATCTAATTGCGCGCCTGTGTGTGTGTGTATGTGTGTGTGTGTG